ACTAAAATCTATATCTATTATGACATTAAATACATAAATTTATGTCTGTTAATATAATAACAAACGTAAAATATTACAATTCTTTTAAAAATTATGTTGGTTTGGCATGATGAAACTGAAACTTGAAAGCCAAAAACACTTTCACAACAACATATATATTTTTCTCATATAACATTTACAGTACATTTAACAAAGTCAAAGTATATATATAATGTATAAAAAAAGATAACTAACTTAAAGAGAAAGAAAACTACTTCAAACTTAATTTTTTTGTTATTGTAAATGTTTGAAGAGATAAGTTGTTCATTTTCTTCTTATTTTCCAACATGTTGTTCATTGATATTGGGGAGGCATCACCAAAGTCCTAAATCAATGATACAATGTTAGCATGTGTAAAGTTTTTCAAACCATACAATTCAAGAAAAAGTTATAAGTGTTTACATATATCTATTCAATCTTCAATGATTTCAGTTCTAATAATAGTCTTCATCCCATGCGTAACATAATACCCGCGTTCAAAAGAATTATTCTGCCTATTACATTAAATAACAAATGGAAAAAATAATATAATGTATAACCTCTATACAAAATAATTTATTTATGTTAAGACAATATTGTATAATAAGACAAGACTGTCTAGTAATTCGTATTTTGAAGTTTAACAAACAATGTTTGACAAAATAACATCTAATAAAATGAACCATCTAGGATAAGATTGTTAAATGTTGTAATCATATTAACATTATCCTAAATGCTCAATGTTACTCTAAAAATAGAAATTGTTTAAACATTAAGTTCACGTACCTTGTCTAAACGCTTAGCGCCTAACATATTAAATGCATGTGCGTATAGTACTCTTTTGTATGTTGTATTGTGTTCTCTTTATTTGTGCAGATCACAAGTACAAAGTTTTCTCAAATATTTTGCATTAGATCAGAAGAATGTTAAGAGATAGAAAGACATTCTAGGAATGTTTCTTCAAGTGTTTTACGCTCTCCTCATCTATGCAAGCTATCTCTGCATAAACACATAGCATCTAACTTCATATCAAAAGGATACCTACTTATGAAAAAGTCAATGCTTATGAGTAACAGATCTTTTTCAAAGAAGACTATAAAGAGGATTGCATGAAGAGAATAAGAGAAGAATGTGCTGTGAATTTTACGCTATCATTCTCTTTCAAGCTTTCATCGTCTAGCACTATCTTTGAAAAAGAAAAGTTTATTACAAGTCGTCAGATTTATTCATATTGAAAAGTTATCCTCTCTACGAGAATTATATTTTGTACTTGTAAGATTACCTTTGAACACAACATAAATTTATAAGTTTTTAATATTTTAAATACTTATAAAATTTAATTAAAATATTAGCAAATTTGTTTGGTGTGTAAATAATTGTCATTTTATTTTTTTGTCTAAATAGGATATATAGTATTAAAACATTGGTAATTCTATTTGAATGCAAAGTATTAGAGAGAGTATTAAGTATGTTAAATCATCATATGGAAGAACTCTCAAATTCAAAGAATGTGCCAGTGATGTTGGCATAAATATAAGCCTGGATTTGAGATTAAATGTCACTACAAGATGTAATTCAACATATTTAATGCTTGAAAGTGAAATCAAATATAAGGAAGCTTTTGAAATTCTCAAAGTGGTTGATAGAAATTATAAAAATTGCCCATCTTCTGAAGAATGGAACACGGAGAGAAAATATGTCAATTCTTAGAACCATTTTAAGATATTACAATCATGATGTCTGGTTCATCTTATCCCACTTCAAATTTGTATTTTATACAAATTTGGAAAATTCAACTTATCATTAAAGAGAATTTGTTGAATGAAGATGTCACCTTAAAGGATATGGCTTGGAATATGAAAGAAAAGTTTCAAAAGTATTGGAAGGATTATAATATTGGGTTAGCTTTTGGAGCTATTCTTGACCCACGACTAAAAGTTGATTTTTACAACATATTGTTATAAAAAATTGAATCCTCTAACCTAGGCAAAGAAAACAAAGAAAGTGTTGGAGAAATTCAAAAGGTTATTTAAAGAATATGTAAAGAACTTTTCTATCCCTAGTGTTTCTCTTTTCAAATCACCTACTAAATTCATCCTGATGTCTCAATCCAATACTGAAGGAAAAAGTTTAAAAGATCAAGGATTATTTCGATAAGCATTTTATACCTAGTGTTCATTTTTTTTTTCAGTTTTTCTAGTTTTGTTTTTATAATTTATATGTAATGCTTGGTAGGATTTTAAAGTGTATAAGAATGAATCAAAATCTATCATTAGAAAGAACGAGATAGATGTTTATTTAGATTAACCAACAATAGATGATGATGAAGACAGTGAAGATTTTGATGTGCTCAAATATTGGAAGACTAATGAGAAAAAAATTGTTATATGGTCTATAATGGCTCGATATGTGTTTAGTATTCTTATTACTACAATGGCATCAGAGTCAGCTTTTAGCAAAGGTGGGCGTGTACTTTTTAGCGATTTTCATTCTTCCTGAACATGTGCAAATGTTGATTTGTACTCAAAATTGGCTATATGGATTTTCTGAAAATCTTAGCGGTGAGTCTATATGTTATTATTTTTAAAATTACTTCACATTAAATTATTAATTATAGACTAGTAGTTTGATTGTATTTCAATTGTTTGTAATAGATGAAATTGTTGAAGATATTTTTGGTCATGAGAGAATTAATGCGTCTAAACTTTTAGAAGATGTTGAAAGTCTTCAACATTTAATAAAGGATGTTTCATTTGATTTTGTCTCAAGTACTTCTTTTTCACTCATTTCCTTTTCTCCATGTTGTCATTTTCTCCATGTTGTCACTGTTTTGGGCTTTCCTGAATCAATGGGTCACTCTAATCGGAATCAAAATTCCAACTTTTCATTTTTACTTTCTCTTTTATCTATTTTTCGTTTTGGGTTTTTCTTTTTGGTGTGTGGAGATGTGTTTGTAGAAAGCCAAAGCTAAGAAATTTAACGTGAGTGGAGTTTTAAATGAGAATTCATTTTATAAGTTGGTGCGTGAAATTTAACTAACGAGTACTAAGACTTTTATGGGATTTAGGAGGTGGCTATAATTGTTCCTATTGGCAGCAATTTGTCTCTCAGAAGATCTGTGTTCAAGGTTTGATAGTTCTCTTGCTTCCTTTTCTCTTCCTTTTGACTTTGGAAGTTATTTGATGCTTCTGCTCTTTGTGTCATGTTAAATAATCGATCCAACTGTGAAGAATATGTAGATATGCTAACTTTTTATGATTATGTTGATTTGGTATGGTTGTTAGAATACCTCGAGGGATCCAGTTCAATTAGACAGATTAGTGGATGAACATGTTTATTTCTGACAGTTTAGAAAGGGGCCAAACGGCTATGTTTTACTATAGATTTGATTTGCTTCATTTCTATGCATGCAAAACTGTAATGGAGTGGAACAAACATCGGGCAAAGATGAAAGTTTTATTTTTGGTCAAAAAAAAATTTATCTTTTGGGCAAAGGTTTATCTTATGGAATAACTAATTACCTTAATTTTCTGAAAGGAGTTTTGTACAGTATCCAATGTTTAACATTCATGCTGCTGCACTGTAATAATAACGCTGCCATTATTGTATTTTGCTTAATTTTACTATTTTATTCTTATGTTTATATTTACTATTATTTTTGTATTTGTAGCATTAAGGTTTTTTTCCTGTCAATTATGGTGTCCAGGAGGTTCAAAATAGGAGTTACTTTTCAATGGATTCTTTCATAATATCTAATGTAAGTAGGTGAGATTTTTTTAGAAGATTTAGACAAAGTTACTTGTACGATGATTTTCTGTTTCTGTATATAAAATTTAATAAAAATAAAAGTCCATGACCCTGATCCATAGAGTTTTGGAGGTTTTTATCCTATAAACTTTTTTAATAAAGAATATTTTTTGGTTTTATAAACTTCTTTTATCCCAATCGATAAGAATTAGAGTCAAATCTTATTAAAAGAGCTGGCTTACAGTTCTACTTGGAAGCACAAGTCGAGCTGATTACGTTATCAAAGTTAATTCAACCAGCAATTCTGAAAGGGTAATCGCTTACCTCTGTATAGTTCATCAATCTCATACGTTCGTATTCATCTTATAACTCATCTCTTTTAGTTAGCAATCATATGATAAACACATTCCTTGTAATCAAGTGCTTCAATCAATCATAAAAATTTTAATACACAATTCAACTGAAAGAAATGAAGATGGATAACCGAGAAAAGTTGTTACCCTCATGTATCAATGTTTCTTTTAAGAAGGATGACGAATTTGTTGTCTATATTTGAAATCATACAAATTCTTCTAAACGATATGGAAGCTTTAGAACAAAACTTCTTACAGGCCCAAATAAACTTGAAACTAGTTGATAGCACGCGTAAATTTTGGAGAACTCAAACCACATTTCTATTCGTGCTATAATTTTAATCTAAGTTGTAACCACAAGAAGTTGTTCCGTGAGAAGAGGTATAATCTCAACCGACTAAAATTTAAAAACCAATATTCATAAACATAATAAAAAACTGCATTGCTATCTATGAAGAACACCAGCTACAGTCAGAACTAATCCATTTTTATTACTTTTACTTTTCATTCAAAACGGGATTCGTTGCAGCATATCCGCTAACCCGTTGTTCGACAATGCTAAGAGGTTCTACCTAAATAGCTAACAGACCTAAATAGTTGGGATATGTAAAAATAAAATAAGAAAATATATATATTTATTTCTCAATTCTTTAAAACTTCTCTTCATTGTAGTCAAACATCTTTAACTTCACCTTATAATTTTATCCACTTCCACCTGTAACGTTTATTTCCATCAATCATATTTATCTCCCCTTATACTAATCAAAACACTATCAAAAACAATGCAGAAGCGAAAAGCTCTAAGCAAAAATACCCAGTAAAAATTAAGCTACACTTTGCAAATACTTAAATAATCAGACTCAAAAATGTAAACTTTGGAGGTAACTAAATCCACACACTTCATAGCAACGAATATATAATCTTCATAGACAGTAGCCAAGACAATGGGCAAAACCATTCGGTCCCATGAAATCTAAACCGTAAAGAAAATTCTCAGAAGTTGATAGATAACAAAATTATCGAAAGATGAAACAAAAATCCTTGTGCCTACAAATAAGCTGTGAATTCTACTGAGGAACTTCTCACCTGTATCTGCAATAAAGAAATCAATGTACAATAAGGGGAATGTATTATAAATTAATAAAACACAGGCAGGTAAGTAGTACTAATTACATCAATTTCATGAACAAATAGGAAACCAGATATCCACAAGCATATTCAATTTTCATAATCAAATAATAATATCAGAAAATTAAGAATACCATAAGCCAAACAACTCTCTTAAATTACATAAAACATCACTATAAACAATGTATGTCATAACCTTTCATAGCATTCCAAACAACAGACCCTGTCTCACGCGAATCCTTGTAGATTAATGCACAATAAAATGGGCAGATATACAAAACCACAATTGTATATTACACTTACCATTTTGTATTGCAATATAGGTTATTCTTTTATCTATCATGTGAATATAAATATTGGTATATAACTTTTTATATTATACAAGCAACTTATAAGAGAGTAAATCTAAAAGGAAAAACAACAGAACAAGTCAACCATCGATGTACAACAAATCCATAATTAATATATATGTCAAGAACCACATCTGAGATTTAAAGGTGAAGTCCACACAATGACATAAGCCAGGGAATATAACAGGAATTTTTCCAAATATGAAGCCAAAAAGACAAATGATAACCTAATTACCTCAGATGTTACTTGGGTACATGAACACTCTAACCCGTGCTCCCTGTAATGCATCAAAACTCAAGAACATCACAAACCATTAAAAAACCAAATTGATAAAAGCAGTGCTTTCAAATATTTACCATTGATCTGGGAGGAAGGTTTGACTTGAATTTAGCACGAACAACACCACTGTTACCATGAGGCCTTGTAACCTTACCCCAAATGCAACGGTAGTGGCTTCCATTATTCTTCACCTTAGCCTTGTAAATATAGGCCATTCTCTTGCCAGCATACCATCCTACTTCTTCTTTGGTGTTCACTCCCTCAATTTGGATCAGGGATGTGTTGGGATACTGGTTTGACTTGGACCTGAAAGATATTTCCCAGTGTAAGGCAACTAGCAAGGCAATGGAGAAGCAACATAAAAACAAAACCAACAAGGCAAGAAACATTTACCTTTTGTATCCAAGGATTGTACCCCTCACATAGAGTCTAAAACAAAAGGAAAAAGGGGGTGTTATGTTACTTTCAACAACTCATGAAGTCATTGAGGAATGGTTGAATAGGAAAATAAATATATACAGCAACGAATAAAATATGAATCAATACAAGAACAAAAACCAGTATTCAAATCATTTTATCTTGCTCCCTCAAAAAAATAACCAACTGGTCAATAAATTAATGTTAACATATCATACATATTTCTCTGTGACTATCCATAAAACCAGTTAAATCTGTAACAGCGACTACATTCCAATTCTAACAACCATCAATAAACCAAAACTCTTCAACTTCCAAGAACCCTAGTGGGTAAAATAACAAATCAACAATGCAGACAATAAAGTAAAACAGGGTACGTCCGGTCTTAAAAACAGAATAAACGAATCCGTTTTAAGGAATAAGGAATCGAATGTAAAAAAAAAAAAAATTATGATTGGAGCTTCAAAAAAAAAAAAGACAAAGCTTAAAATTTAGCAATGGGCGAAATCTATAGCTCGTGGAAATGAAAGAAGGAATACCTGACGCGCTCTCCTTGGCGTCCCTTAACCATCTTCGTTCCAAGCTGCAGCTGACACACGACACAAACAGCTATACTGCGGCGTAACCCTAAAACTCTCAGAATTGGGTTTTTAGGGTTTTTATAAGAAGTTCTCAAGAAACTCTGCTGAATCAGGTTCTGAATTAGGCCCAATAGGAAATGTTTATAGGCCTTGCTGCTTCTGGCCCGTATTAACTGATTGATTTGTTAAGGACAAAAAAAGTATTTACATATGAACTATAAAACATATGGGAAAGTCGTGAGTACGTAAAAACATTTCAATATACTTGAATGAAATATATTTTATTTAAAGTAACATAAAGGAAAGTTTAGGAGATTAAATGGTAAATAGGTCACGTTCAATAAAATTTAATATTTTTTTTTATAACAACAGCTGAAAACACATGCATTATTATACGTATTCACTCTTTTTTATTAAAATGATTAAATATTTAAAAGAATAATCACTTAAAAAGAAAAGTTTATAAACAATTAGGGGAGCTTTACCATGCACCTCTCTCTTTTTTTCCGCACCTCCAAAATGATTTTAATATTTTATTATTTTTTTTTTCTCTCTTCACTCATTGCATCTCTTACTCAAAGCCGATTAAGAATGTAATAATTTAAGGTTTGCAATATTTTTTTCTCTTAACCGATTTTCGAAAGCCTACAAATTCTTAACTAGTCTAGTTTTCGAAAGTGTGTAAACTCTTAACCAATTTTCATTTCCGAAAGTCTATAAGTTCTTAACCAATTTCCGAAAACTAATTAAAAAGACATATTTTAAAATATGTTTGAAAAAAACGTAGTTCAGAAATAGAATAAACATACTTCAAATATGTTTATTCCATAAACATATTTACGTTTAAAAAATAAACGTATTAAATTTAAAATAACAAATAATAAATTTTGAAAAATAAAAATAAAAATAAAACAAACAAAACAACAGAAAAAAAAATTTTAAAATTTAAAATAAAAAATTGCAACCAAATACAATTACAATATTTAAAAAAATCAAATAAAAAATTTAAAAATACCAACCAAATAAAAAATATTTTTTTTCTTGAAATTATATTGATTTTTTTTATTTATCTATAATTGTTTAATTTTAGTTGATTTTTTTAAATATTGTAATTGTTTTTGGTTGTAATTTTCTTTTGTTAAATTTTTGTTAAACTTTGTTAATTGTTTTTTTTCTTTGTTTTATTTTTATTTTTCAAAATTTATTATTTATTATTTATTATTTATTTTTATTTTAAATTTAATACATTTTTTTCTTAAACGAAGTACTTTTTCTCAAAATATGTTTATTAAAGCTGTCAAAACGGGTAATCCGGCCTGACCCACCACGGGTTGGTCACTTAGTGAGTCAACGCAATCCGGCTCATTTATTAGCGAGCCAAAAAATTTGAACCTGACTCGATCCACCACGGGTTAGTGGGTTAAACGGGTTGGCTCATTGGCTCACTTAACTTTTTTTCACCCTCTTCTTCTATGATTCTTATAACATGTTACTTTGATCGATCAAATTGAAACAGTAAAAATTGGACTAATTGATATAAAAGAAAATGAAACAAAAGAACTCTATTGTTATATATTCTAAGCTATCAAGCATTAAAATTTTGTCAATTTAGTTTAACGAGACATACACAACCGTTTAACCAAGAAACTACGTATAGCCATTAACAAAAAATATATAGTAGAGGGGAACTTTTGGATGAATGCACCACGAAAAGCTCTGTTGCGAAGTAAAGGTTGTGCGTTTTGAATAATTAATTTAATTAATTTGATTTAAATAAAAAAATAGGATTTGAATAATTAATTTAATTAATTTGATTTTAATAAAACAAATAGGTGGTTAGTGAGTCAACCCAACCCGGGTGAGCCAAGTTCTTAGCGAGCCGGGTCAAAATTGGCTCGCATCAAAATTTTCACAATTTTTTCAACCCAACCCGGCTCAAACCCGTGGTGAGCCAGTTTGACTCACGCGTTTCAACCCATTTTGACAGCATTAACATTTATTCATTAATTTTTGTTTAATTATATTTATTTATTTTAAATACATTTTTTATTTTTTTCTTAATCGGCTTCCGAAAGCTGGTTAAGAGCTCGCGGACGCCGGTAAATAAAAAAACGTATTTCAAACCTTAAATTGTTGAATTCTTAATCAGTTTTCGAAAATCATTTAAGAAATAAAAAAGGTGTAGAGAGTAAAGAAAAGTAAAAAAATAATTTAATAAAAAATTGAAGATTATATTTTCAATTTTGAAAGTGAAAGAAGAGAGGTGAAGGGCGCAATACCCAACCATTATTTATTAAAGAGTAAAATGTGTACACCACAAAATTAAATCCAGTTTAGGCCTTGTTCTTTGGATTTGAGGTAGAGTAATTGAGGGAATTTGAAGATAAATTTTTTTGCCGTTTATTTGAGTGAATTTTGAGGTAAATGAGAGTAGATTTGAAAATTTTACCTCCAAATTCACTTAAATAAACGACAAAAAAATTTATCTTCAAATCCTTTTAAATCTCTCCCATTACTCTTCCTGAAATCCATTGAAGAGAAAAAGCCCTTAAGAATAAAAATGTTAAGATAAAAATATAGAAAGAGAAGGAAGGAAAGAGAGAAAGAAAAAAGATGTAAGACATTTTTTTTATAATTTAATAAGAGGAAAAATATTGTATTTAATGGTTCACAAAATTTAATTTTTATTAATGAGAAATCTTCTATCTCTAGTTTCACAAAAATGTTATAATTTATATGAAAATCTTGCTATCAATGGTTTTATGTTTATATGAAGTAAAAACGGTTGAGAACTATGTTTCTCTTAATATATTTATTGTTGTTTGTGTTGGATTTTGTTATATGCCTTCGTTGTTGTTTTCTTTTGTATGGATTTTATTTATTAAATGAATAGCGGATGTTGTTATTTGATGATAAAAGATGAAGAAAATGGTTGTGGGTTGAAGAAAAGATAACATTTGTGGTTTAATAATTTATTTATAGTTTTATATGCTCTTCAATTTTAAGGATTTTTTAATTCTTCTTCTGTTTGTTTATTTGTATTCAATGATCAAGGAGCAACAAAATTGGTTGCGGTTTGAATCAAAGGAAACATTTTTCTTTTGATGGTTTGTTTGTGGAACACATCTTGCATATTTTGAAAAACTTATTCCAAAACACTTGTTTAAAAAAATAGTTTACGCATTCTAGAAAGATTGTTCTAAACTTCTTTTTCAGAAAATCCCATTTCAAAATTCTCGTTTATAAATCAAGTTCTACAAATTTTAAAAAGTTTGTAAGGAAAAATTTCCAAAATCATTTTAAATAGGTTTAATACCTATTTTGGTCCTTTGATTTGTAAGGTCTGTTCAAAGTTGTCCTCCTTTTTTTCAAAAGTTCACTAATATCCTATATTTTGCAAAAACGGTGCACGTTAGTCCTTTTTGCTTACGGCGTTGAAAAGACTAACGGTAGACTTGCCCTCCCGGGAAAAAAGTTGATGACTTGTACAATTATTGTTTACGTGGCACACTGAGTTGGAATGACTTGGCAAGGTGTGTAGAAATGTTAAAATTGAATTAATTGGTTAGAAGCAAAGGGTTAGGGTTGTTGTTGATTCGTCCCTGAAGTGAGCAAAGTTGTTCTTCCTCACATGGTGGTGCTTCGAGCGGAGGTAGGATAACCCTTATTTATAGGTGCTTCTCGTGATGAATGACAAGGTTGTCTAGAGGTGTAGAAAACGAATATGGTGGAGTGATGCTGCGATTTGGGTTTTTGCAAATTAGGGTTTTCTGATTTGGGATTTTGGGGTTTTCTTTACAGGTTGTGTGATTGAGGTTGAGGAAAAAGGAAATTGAGATTGAATGAAGGTTTTTCTCGTACTTGCAGATTGCGGGGAAAAAGGAATTCTCCTCCTTTTTATGCTGCTGCAAGCATCCTAAGAGGCTTTCACTATTTAAGAATAAAGACATCCATTAAATAAAGAAGTCTCACATGTATCATCTAGAGTATCAGCAACCAAGGAAAAATGAAGTACGAAAGCAGCCTTCAGCTAGTCATAAAAACTTTAGTAAAGCTTTTAGGTCTGTGACAGCTTCCTCAATGGCATAAACTATCATCTTCTTTATCTGTTCAACATAAACATATATCTGATAGTATATTCTGTCAGGTATCCTTAATATGTATGATCGTCATATACATTAGGGAGCACATTGCACAATTTTTAAAGAAAAGGAAGACCACATTTAACATTTTTAAACCATTGGGGGGACTAAAACAAACTTTTTTACACGAACCCAGATTGTTCATTTTAATTGTAGCAGAAACTGATAATCATCCTTTACAAGAACAACACATAAAATCTCCAAAATTGTCTCCCAACATTCCTTGTAGTTCTAGCAAATTTCGTTACAACAATATCACCACAGTGACAAATAGGGTTATCCCAACTACCCTCGAAACAATACCATGTGAGGAATGCGAAAATCCTTTGCCCCATGTCTTCGAAGAAGAAGAGCAACTTTGTGAAGAAGTCATTCTTAACCCTAACCCTTTGCTTTTAAATTTGGAAACAACAATTTTGCTCACTACAGCACGAATCACTAACAACCCTAACCCTTTGCTTTTAAATTTGGGAACAACAACTTTACTCATTGCAACACGAATCACCAACACCCCTAATCCTTTGCTTTTAAATTTGGGAACAACAACTTTGCTCAGAGGACGAATCAACAATTTCTTTTAACCCTCTGTTACAAAATTTCCACATCATTTGCTTTTATTCTAAAAAATTAAGTCATCAAATGACCTCACCATGCCACGACATCAATAAATGTACAAGTCATCAACTTTTTGCCAGGGGGCAGGTCTGTTGTTAGTCTTTTTAACCCGTAAGAAAAAAGGACTAACGTGCACCGTTTTTGCGAAAAGTAGGATGTCAGTGAACTTTTGAAAAAAAGGAGGACAACTTTGAACAGACCATACAAACCGAGGGACCAAAATAGGTATTAAACCTTCTAAATATTATGATGTGTGCCACAAAATTATAGGGGTGCAAGAAGAAGAGGTCTTCGTCTGTTACCCTCTGCATTTGCTGAAACATTTCATTTATTTCCTAAACGCATTTCG